ATCTACAATGGTGAGCGCGGTCTGGTAGCCCGAATAAACTTACCCTTTCTCTAACTCTCTTTTACTTGTGTCTCGCCAGATCGACAGTTTCTGACAACATTGTAGTACCGCATTTTTGGCACTGTTGAGAGGCCCCCTGGCCTCAGGGCACACCTCATCACTTCCGAACCATGCTCCCATACGTCGCACGAGCCCCACCTACAGTCTGTAGGTGGGGCTCGTGCGACGTATGGGAGCATGGTTCGGAAGTGATGAGGTGTGCCCTGAGGCCAGGGGGCCTCTCAACAGTGCCAAAAATGCGGTACTACAATGTTGTCAGAAACTGTCGATCTGGCGAGACACAAGTAAAAGAGAGTTAGAGAAAGGTAAAGTTTATTCGGGCTACCAGACCGCGCTCACCATTGTAGATCCGGGCTAACGCCGAGACCACGTAGTGGTCATTAGTTTCGTCCGACACCGCCCCTCCATCGTCACACCCATTAGGCCCTGCCGCTGCTGTGGCAGCATCCTTGTTTTTGACTTCTTCTCCAGACCGAACCTTGTCCACTGCAAACCTCTATACATTCAATAATTGCCCATGCTACGACTGAGTACAAACCTCTGGTTCTCCACTCTTACTAAGTGGAATGGGGGCCCTGCAGCTGTGAGGAGGAGCGCGTCACGAACCGGCCATTTTGCTCTCGGCCGGGCGACAGAATCAGTCACTCCTTTGGTTGTTCATACAGCCGGTGACGATTTTCCGGTGCTACAGGTTTATCATCGTGCGACTTGTGTATCGAGTACATGCTACCACAATGACTCGTTGTTCTCACGTCACTACTACATCCTCTGGGCGAATATCTCGTTGCCCATGGAACGCCACACATGTGTGTGGGAGGTGCGAATCGCACTGCCCGTGCCCTAAGTGTGTGGCAGGTGACTGTCACACAGTTTGAGATTGTACACGCTGTCGGCAATGTCGACCTCACTGCCGACAGAGTTGCCGTCGCTACAGCTACTACGCTGTTGACGACCCACATCCTGTAGCCCGCAGCATCTCGCGCGCTATGGAGGACAGTTCATGGTCTAGGCCCCTCGATATCGGGGGACCAGGCTATGACATTGACCACCGCTATGTATTACAGAGTGAGCCCGTTGGGTTCTGCGGCGGTCTGGGGACGCATATCTGCGAGCCAGATACGCCTGATAATTCGGGCGGTCTTGAGTCTCCCTGCAGAGAGGAACTTCCCCCCCTGATTCTGACTATGCGTGGTCACAACGCAGCTCTCACAGCAGCGACGACGTAATCGGGACTATGGGAGAGAACGATCCTAAACCGGAATATGGTGCAAAGGATTCGATCTTAGTGTTTAAGGCGACCAAGTGCGCAATATATTGGCCCATTCCGTGGGATGTATGTGACTTCGGGCATGTGCACCAGTTCGCATACCCTGAGGAGTTGCATAACGTCAGGGACTTTAGGGTAGTCGGCCATCGCCTACAGCTCAAGTACAGAGGGTTGTTGGTGTGGATACGGGCTGTCAGCGACCTGGCAGTGTCCCTGTGGTCGGTGAACGTTAGGCGTGGGTGGCTGAGCTACTTAGCCGAAGCGAAGGCCATGTATGCTGAGGTTGCCGAGCTCGTAGTGGCGTTGTCCACCTCGGGGAGTGCGGGGACTCCACTTCAGCAGGTGCCCCCGTTGTCATATTCGACGTGCCCTTCCCCGCTGTCGAGAGGGACGATATGGCCGGGTACGATTCTCGCCCTACCGGCGTGGCTGACGCTTGGCGGTCTATGACAAAGACTTTCATGGACATGGAATCCCCCCCATGGCTGGAGAGTAAGTCCTTCTGCCCCTCGTGGTGGCCTTCGGATTGCTACCACGGTAGGAGGCTGACTGTGAATGCTTTCGTTGACGGGACTATCGCTCCAGGTTGCGACGACCTGGGTGGAGGCAGTAATAGGGCTGTGTTTATCGACGAGCTTTACAGAGGGGTGCACCTATATGCGTACGTTACAGATCTGTATGACGCTACCAACTCAGCCATCTGGATTGACTATGACAGTATCATTAGTTGTGAGAGGTGCAGGCGATCAGGCATATACGTGGTTGGTACCGATGGCAGAAGTGCATTCATAGATTCTAGGCTGGAGTGTATGTTGAGCCAGGTGATGGAGGGCGACTGGACCGATGTCGCTGATTATCCGTACATCCGTTTCCCAAAGATGTCAGCGTGCCAGAGAGTGGGTAGTTCTATAACTTACCTTAGGGATGATGACTCGTATGGGATGCTAGGAGAGTGCAGCAAACTATCGAACATGGATGCTATTCGAACTATGGCATTGAGCCCGTTTCACATCCCTCTACACCCGATTGGCAACTGCTTCTTCTCTATCTTTAGGGAGTGTGGCGACGGGGATGGTGCGTCTCTTGGGCCCATATATGCTAACCAGATTATGTCTAGCGAACTCCTTGACGCCGATGAGCATAAGTTGCGCTCGGTGCCAGGGGGTAAGTGGCTCGCGGCGTCCGACGGGCACATACACGTGGTCAAGTCTTGGGACGAGGCAACGCACCGTGTCGACTTGACGGACGATTCGGTGATGCGGGCATCGATGAGTACATGCCGTCATGCGGGATGTCCGCTAGTAGGGTGGTGCCGATGATTAGCGACTTTGTTAGTTTTAGCGAGCCGGGCGGCCACGATGCGGCTGGTTGCGCGGTCGGTAGCATTGGCGGTGTCGGACGAAACTAATGACTGTCGATCTGGTTCCTAGACAAGCAAAAGAGAGTTAGAGAGAGGTAAAGTTTACTCGGGCTACCGTCGCCGCCGACCTAAATAATGCACCGGAGTGCCAACTGTAGTTCAGTATCCTTAGTATCCTTCTCTTATCATACCTCAACCATCGCCACATCGACAGAAACCTGTGATTTTGACCCCGTTGAAGGTATACAATCGTAGTACGATAAGCGCCTGAAGACGCCTACAATCGTTAGTCTCGGATTTCCCATATTTGGTGTATTACGCCTGGCGGAATTCCGCAACTATTCTGGAAGGTGGGAAGTACGAAGGGTATGCCAGTTTTGCAGGAGGGTGGAATGAATGGATGGTTCTGGAGTGAGTTGTTTTGGTGTATCCGCGTGACGTGCGCTACAAGCAAATTTGGAAGAGAAGGCATGAGTACAGCACATGGGGCAGGCATGCATTCTATCGATCTCGGGAGGCGAGATCACGAGAGTAACGGAGCTCTCATGAGGTTGATCTCGCGGGGAGCGAGGGATTTGATGTGTGAAGACAGTGCTTCTCGAGACGGCGCGGATGGTAGGTGGCGCTGCGTTGGTGCGGAATGGCTTAAGCATGTGGCGGCCAAACAAGTCAGGCATAATTTAATTATTATTAGTGGGGTAGTTACAGTGGACGCGGGCCGCGGCAGCGCCATAACATTTGAGCGCAGCAAAACGTTGGCATCGCGGGCGCAGGGGCGCGGGCATGGGAGCAAACGAAGGGTGATTGCACGAGCTCGCGCGCAAGGCGTACGGGGCTGGCCCAGCAAAAAGCGCTCATCGCTAGGTGCAGTTTGAGTACCTCCATGCGAGCTGCAGCGCCGGTAGACGTCGTACTTACAGCATCGGTGCATGCCGTTTGTTTAACTTAATGTGTACCTTATCATATACCTTTTATCTTTATTTACAACAGAGCTAAGACCCGTCGCAGCTCATGCCTGCACGGCGTCCGATCTCGTGGAGATTCATTTTTCTCGCGCGACTCAGGAGTTGCGCCAGGAAAAAAAATCTTTCGGGTCTTCAATGACTGCGGCGCATCTCTCCGTAGCAAGGCGGTGCTTACAGATGCGAAAATCAAAAGAAAAATCCCTACGCATGTGCGGCCGCCGCACGTGCGAATAAATATTGTCCGGCAGGCGGGCCAACCGCGAGGCGCCAAGCGGAGCACGGCGCGAGCCATGCGTCAGGAATTCCTGCTGCCCCCTGCCTGCAGCGCATATGCCCCTCCCACGTGGCATACGCACCTCAAGTTGACCCCCGTCAACGTCCGAGCGCCGCGCCGGTTCGCACGCCAATCCACGTCGGACAAGCCTCGCACGTCGCGCCGCACATTTCATGCCCCTATGATACCCTGTGATAAAGATAAAGAGAATCTGTGTTGGGCCCGTGCGGGTGTCCGCCTTCGCCCATCCGCCCGGCGCACATGTGGCCGCGCGAAACAAGGGGGCCCGGAGCATCGTGTGTGACGCGGCTGGAGGAGACAGCGGCGTCGGAGAAGTGACCAAATAATAAGCGGGTCCTAATCTCACGCTTCCTCTGCGTTTCACGCAACGCTCTTCTCATACTCGTAGACGACCTTGCCCTTGTCATTGACGGCGGAGGCGGTGAACAGCTGCCCGTCGAACCTAAACACGAAAAAGCCGTGTACCTCCTTTCCCCAGACCGTCCTTGCGACGGTCGTGTCGTTGGTGGAGGGGAGGACGCCGCAGCACTGCTGCCAGTGATCTGCCTGGTCGGCGGGAGGCTGCACGATCTCATCGAGCTTGCTGCCGGCGCCGCTTAGAAAGTGGTCCACGACGGCGGTGTACGGCGCGTTTGCGTCGTCACGGTCGACGCGCGGGTGCGGCTGCATGTGCATGAGCGCGTGCTCGTGCCCGGAGATGTAGGCGAGCGTGCGCGACTTGTACGGCATGAGGACGGGCTCGACGAGGTCGCGCAGCTCCTTGCTGCCGAGGTGGCCGTTGGTGGACATGGTGTACATGTTGTGGTGCGCGACGATGATGAAGTAGGCCGTGGGTGGGGAGTCGGCGAGCTGGCGCTTCAGCCACCGCACTTGCTCGTGCGGGTCCTGCCGGTTCTTGTTGCGCGCGTCGACGCCGTCCTCGCCCTCGATGAACGGCGTCGTGTCCAGGAAGATGGCGATGAGGTTGTCGGAGAATTTCTGCGCAAAGTACGTGGCCGGCATGTTCCAGCGCGGCTCGTGCGAGGTGAAGGCGACCTGCGCGTCGACGTTGCCGTGGTGGTCGTGGTTGCCCAGGACCGAGTACCAGGGGATGTTGGAGAGGATGAGGTGGTTGTAGACGTCGCGGTAGCTGGTGGAGAACTGGTGGTCGTCGATGGAAGTCACGCCGTTGGAGTAAAAGTTATCGCCGGTGGAGATGATGAAATGCGGGTTGTAGCCCTTTTCGATGAGCGTGTTCTTGACGGTGTCGGCCATGGCTTGGGCGACGGGCTTCTGGCCGTGCGTGCCGTCGCGGCCCCAGTCGCCGAGGGCAAGGAAGGAGAGCGGGACGTGCGGGACGGGCAGGTGGACTGGGCCGGCGTCGGCGATGCCGGGGTGGATCGTGAGCGGGATGCGCCTTTTGAAGAGGGAGTTGAGGAGGAAGGGGCTGGCGATGACCAGGAACAGGAGAACAAGGAAGGTGGGGCGGGAAGGGCTGGGGGGGTTGGAAGAGCGGGGCAAGGCAGAAGAGGGGACGAGTGTGGGGAGAAGAGGGGAAGCCTCGGAGGCGTTGGGGGTGCGGCTGTCTGCCATGGTGCGGCTGTCTGCCATGGCAGGGATAGATGAATCGGGCGAAGGAGGGAAGGTTGATGGAAGAGTTAGTGCGAATGGTAAAGGATGGGAGTAGACGGGAGGGGAGGGGGTGAACGAGGGATGAGAGCAAAGGTTATATAGAAAGGCGGTCGCCTCTAATAAGAGCTTGCATGCGCACGCTGGTACGGAGGTAAAACAGAGGAGCATTAGTGAGTAGAATTGGAGGGATCGAATCCATAGGGTTGCTGTGGAATAGGGGCTTGTCATACTCCGCTACAGCTATGCACACCCTACGACGCCTCCAGAGCGCCGCTGTCCAAACGTGTTGCCATCCCGCCCTAACCGGTGGTGAGGGGTTGGTCCCTAGCCCGAGCACCGTGAACAGTGCCGGTTTTTTAAACGCTATTCTGGTTTCCGCATCTTCCTCAGGGTTGAACCTCAGGTTGAATCTTTTGCACGCCGAATGCTCTTCGGCACCTGCCAGCCAAACACTGGTCAACCGGTGCGATGCCCATTCCTCCCCCACAGCCACCTGTTCCCACGAACCGGTGGCTGTGGGGGAGGAATGGGCATCGCTAGGACCAGCCGCGCCTACCCTCCCCGCGTGACACGCGTCTCGCCCTTGCGAATATTCGACCCCGCCACAAAATTTAAGCATTAATAAACTCTACCCACTCCCTGCCCCGGAAAGTATCTACTGCGCCTCTAGATTCACTGCTCTAATTACAAACCGGCCTGGCCACTTGCAACAATTACCTTCGTGCATCTACGTTCGGCGAAAGCGTAGAAACGCCTTGGCTCGCAGCCGCCTTCCAGGGTGGAAGCTTGCATTACGAGATCGCCCACGTGTAAGCGCCCCCCGATCTCATTCTGTGCGTCGTCACGTGTACGGCCTCGATAGGCCGTGTGGCCTGCGCCCTACAGTCGGGCCATCGTGGCCCAGTCAAAGCCGCGCAATGCGCAATCTGAGCCGTCGCCCGCCTCCTCACGCAACTTTTGGCCCGTCCTGCTTGCCTCGCTATTTGCCGCGTCACACCCATCTGCCCCAATTTTAAATACTCACCCCTCACACGCCTCTTCGCCAACCGTGCTCTCCCTTCCCCCCTTACCCGGCCCCTTCCCCGGCACGCTCTACATCCACCACGCCCTCCTTCCAAGCACATGCCCACAAACCCTACACTTCAAAAGCTGTACATGTCAATCACCCCCCCTCGCATCCCGCACAACCCCCCCCCCCAATATCTCAATCGTTCTCTCTCTCGCCCCTCATCCTCTCCCCTCGCTTATCTTCCAGCCCCAGCCCCCCGCCCCCTCCGATCTTCCCTCCCGATGAATCCCCCAGCCCCTGCGCCGGCCCCCATCCCCTCCCCCACGCTCCCCGTCGCCTCCCCTAGCCCCGCGCCCGCCCGCCTCCCGCTCGCCCTGCGCTGCGTCAGCTGCGATGCCACTGAGACCCCCCTCTGGCGTGCCGGCCCGGCGGGCCCGAAGACCCTGTGCAACGCCTGCGGCGTCCGGTGGAAGAAGACGGGCTCGGTCATCCCGCGCTCCAAGCGCCCGGCCGTCCCGCCCACCCCGCCCTCCTCGAAGCCCTCCCCCGTTCGCAAGCGCGCGCGCACCGCCTCACACTCCCCGTCAAAGCAATCCACCCAATCCGACAACAACCAGCCCCCGCCCTCGCCCCCGGATCCGAGGGCTGTCGCCGCAGCGGAGGCCGCCGCTGCCCTCCCGGCCCCGAAGCCCATCTCCGTCTTTCGCGTCGCCGATGCCGCTCGCTCCAAATACGAAAGCGTCTTCTCGGGCCTCATGGTTGTTAATCGTATCGCCAAACCGCCCGCCAAACCGGCGGAAGACGACCTATCGAGGGGCAGAACCCGGACCCAGACCACCAGGGGAAGCGCGTTCTTCGCTGAGTTTGCGACTCCACCACCGCAGCTCAAACTCCCGATCGGCAGCCCGGTGCTACGCTCGCTGCCCTGTCCAAGCCCGCCCCCAATCGAGAAGGACGAGGAGGGGAGGGAAGGAGGGTCTGTTTATGTCACAGAGGTCCATGCCCCGAGCCCCAGCCCGAGCCCACCTCCCATGCCGCGGGTCCAACGCAGGAAGGAGGGAGGCGGCTTTAATCTACTGCTGGCTGCTGTAGCGGAGGAGCGAAAGCAACAACCTCAGCAACAACCGCAGCAACAACCGCAGCAACAGCCGCAGCAACAGCCGCAGCCAATGTGAACGCTAGGGGTTGCCTTGCGTGTGCGAGCCGCAATACCGATTGCCGGTCTGCGCATGACCTGCCTGTTCTTCGGCTCAGGGTGTTATTTTGCGCCTTTTTTTTTTTTTTTTTTTGGTGGCGTGGTATTCGGTGGGTTTAGAAGGGTCGCTACCACCAGAGTTTGAAGGTTTTGGAAGGGGGAGGGGGGGGGGGGGGGG